GAGATGAACATCCTTAAAGCATTCTACTTGTACAAAACACAGCATTAATGAAGAGTTTTTATGTACATTTTAACAGAGAAAAAGAAATAATCCATAAGCAAATACATATTCAAAATGGAGTTGTTATGAAATGAAAAGAAAAGTATTAACAGTATCTTCTAAAAATGTCCATCATATTCAAAAGTTATTTGGGAACTGAAAGTTTTAGTATAGCCATCACATTTTAAAAATGTGTACTAAATAAAAACGTTGCTTTTCGATTTTCATGCTACTTTTTGTCTTGTGATGACCTCTCCTGGTTGAGTTGTTCATTATCTTAGATTCATATAGTTTTCATTTTTTCTCCTTTGAATGTTTTTTAGTTTTAAGAATAATAACTATTGTATTCTTCTTCAGAGTTATATATGATGTAAATAAAATTTTCATTAAGTATAAAATACAATAGGAATTTAAAGTACTGAATGCATGAAGCTCATTCTAATCAGTAAAGGCCAATATTATTTGTATTATTTAATTCATTTTCAGGATATAGGGCAACTTTGCACCTTGTTCACACAGTTCAAATTCAAATGAAATAAAAAGCCATCTTAGTTAAGCCATTATACATTCTTAAAAATGGAGAATAACAGCTAAATAAATCAATACTGTTAATTAAACAAAACTATTAACTATTTTTTAAAGTAATGGTTTCTATGTTCTTTTATATCACTAAATTCTAAATAAGTAGTAACAACTCAGAAAATATTTCTGAAATAACAACTTTCCCAATCTTAAAATATATTAACCCAATGACTGCCTGTGTGCCATTCTTGACACATGGTCAATGTTGCAGATTGACCCATTACAATTAAAGTATTCAAAAGATGAAACACAGAACCCAAGGAAAACCCTGGATAATAGGACCTTCAATCAGTGAATATAATAAATTCAACTTACAATGAGTTAAATTTCCAGGAAAAGTGGCAGCAAGTTCTATATAACTAGACCTTGAAATGGAAACTGAAATTTCATAAGAATAGTTACCCAAGGATATAGGTACATATTTGTGTAAATATTAATATCAAGCATTATATTTTCACAATTTCTGTTTAAGTTCATAAAACTGATATAAAATATTGACAATAAATAACTTTTTGAGCTTTAAGCTGTTATAAAAGAACTATAATTTTTTCAAGTTCATTATAAACTTTGATTGCCATTTAGGTATATCCTTATCTTTAAACATTTGCAAGAAAAGAAAAGCTAATACTATACTTGGAAAAATATGTCAAAACAATAATACTAATTCATCATATGATATCATTATGTACTAGATGCTTTGCCACAACTTAAGTCCTTTTTCAATGGCATTCTTATTGATATTTGCATACCCTATTAACATATAGCCAAAGATGCATTAATACATTCCAAAATCTTACAAACGAAGAAAGAATTACTTCATAAATGTGAATTCAGGAAAATACTAAACTTTTTTTTTCTTGCTAAATGGAAAGCACTCTTTCTTAAACTCTGAGATCTCCATGATAATTTCTTACCAACTTATTTCCTCATTCTCAGAAACAAGAATGTGCTTATGAATCTTATCCTAAGATTCCCATAGGCAATCTTCCTAGTGCTTTAACTCCTTCTGCGCCAAAGGAGCAATCCTGAATTTCCCTCTCTACATGCACAGTGTATACCTCTAAAGCAATGCAGAAAATGGGCTGGAATCTTCCATTTCTTGTTAAACCTCATAAAATCATGAGAAATCGTTTTTTTTTAAAAGCTAGTTAAAACACACAGATATGCATATTGAACAGCATCATTTTCCTGAAGTCTGTTAAGAAGTCTGTTCACTATGACATTAATGATGCTTTTCACTGACTGTCCCAAGTCCTGAACTGCATGAGTCATATCCATTACATCAAACTACCAAAGAATTAAAGCAATTTCAGTTACAATATTGCACTCACTCTCTTTTAATAAGCAAGTAGTAAACAGGCATTAACTTTTTAAGGGGACTGTCTGGGAAGGTTAAAAGAGCATCTATAGGTGCCCAAACTGTTCAAAACAGGCTCCTCTTTTAGCCTCAACCCCGCGCTCATTAAATTAAAACCATAAATAAAACATAAGAAACTTATTTTTTTCCCAAGGTCTTCACTTTTCTTTCCCTGACCTACCTAAGAAAAATGCAATGAACTCTCTCTGCACAAATAACTCCCAAGAAGCTGCCACCTACACTAATCACTCTAACCAAGCTGTTGCCAGCCAATCTCCAAGACCAGGAACAACTTTCCAGAAACATCACCACCGTCAAAACCCTCTCTCCCAACCCGGGAGCGCTGGGCTCGGAGTTTCTCTGCTGCAGTGGCTGCAGGCGTGCGACCACGGAGACACACGCAAATCGCGGGGCGACAACTGCGAGTGCACCCCAGAGTTGACACCCCAGCTTCCAACATCAATGCGGCACCGAAGCCGCTCCGGTGCAGCGCAGGCTGGCGGGGAGGACTACTTACGGGACGTGGAGGGGGCCGTCCAGGCTCTGCAGAGGAAGCTGCTGACGACCCAGAGCGAGAGCGCTGCCCCGCAGCCGGCGCGCGGAGCCACCACCATCCTTCGCCTCCCGGCCCGCGGTACTCCAAAGGCTCGCTGCGGAGGTGCGGTCGGTGTCTCCGTGGGGTTCTCGAAGGGAAATGGGCTGTCCTCAAATACGGGAGCAAGCCAAGCCCCTCCCGCTTCCTCTTCTCCCCTCACCCCGCTCCAGGCTCCAGTTTTCCTGGGCTTGGAGCAGCAGGGCAGGCTCAGCCTCCGTTTTCCCTCCGTGCGGGTCTCGCCTCCTGCTCGGCGAGCCAGTGTAATGCCAGGGGGTGGAAGGGGTGGGCAGAAATTCAAACCAAGAAGGGAAAGGAGGGGGGAGAGGGGAGGGGACGGACACCTACCCCGCCCTCTCCTTCTCGCGGGGGTGGGGGGAGGATCACGAAAGGACAGGGAGGGGGGCCCAGAGGAGCGGAGGCTGCAGAAGCGAGAGGGAGAGCGGCGGGGACGGCGGTGCTGCCGTTGCCACTGCGGGCGAGCGCTCCCCTCGCCGCCGGGCAGCGCGACTCGGAGGGCTCTCCACTCGCCCGGCGGCTCGCGAGCGGAGACTGCGTGTGCGCGGGGAGCGCGCGGCGCAGCCGGCGGCGCTCGCTCGGCCTCAGCGCGGCATCTCCCCGCGGCGGAGCGCACGCAGCCGCCGCCGCCGAAGGGCAGGAGACGGTGCCGCCGCCGCCGCCAGCAGCGCCCGCAGACCGGCGCGACGAGCTGGGCGGAGGGCAGCCCTCCCCGCGCGCGCTTCCCTTCTCCGTGCCCTCCTCGGCTCCTCCTCCTCCTGCTCTTCCTCCTCCTCCTCCTCCTTACCGTACCCCTCTGGCTGTCAGAACCCTTCTGCCCTGCCCTCGCCTCGTTTGGAAGCGAAAGGGAGAAGGAACCGACGGGCCCGGGTCCCTCAGCTGGGGCGGGGGCAGGGGAAGGAGGCGCGCGCCTCTCCCGGGGCGGGAGGTGGTGCTGTCCGCGGTGCTGAAGTTGGGGATTTGCCGGGTAATCTCAGAACCCTGCTCCGACCCTGGCTGCCCCCTACCCCGCTGCAGGAAGGAGAAGCCCCTCGCTAGGATGCTTTCTCTTTCCCTTCTCTCCTCCCCTTCAAATAGAGATGGTACAGGCTCCCGGAGCTCCGGTCCCCCGGGAACCACAATCAGGCGTCCGACAGGCAGGTCTTCCGAGTGGTCCTAACACCAAGTGACGGAGCTAAACATCCCGACCGACTGGAGCAGCAAGGGAGGACTGCAGACGCTGCTAATGCAGATGTTTTCAATATGTAATTAATTCATGCTCATAAATATGCTCACATACACCATACACACGCTGCTGCCAGGAAAACTACATTCAGGCAAACACCACACAAACAGACACAGAAGCAAAACTGAAATAAATAAGCAGGCATATGGATAACTACTTCAAGGTACCTGAGGCATTGCAAGTACTAAGAATTAAGGAGGTTTAGAGAGACTTGGGTTTTCTTCTCACATTTAGATAATTTCAATAATAAATCTCAAGCTCTTCTCCCTAGCTCACATCTCTTCACACTCTACCCTCCATATGGTTTCCTTCTATCCAGTCTACTTAAAGTATTTGGATTCTTATATCTCTGCAAAACCAATCCTTTCACTGGCTTTATGGACACAGTTAAAAATTATTGGTCATCTAAATATCTAATGATGTTTAGGGAGGACTAAGTAGGAGTAACCATGTCTTTCAATGTTATGCAATGAATAAGCATTTGCCTTTCAAGATAAATAATTTTTTTATGGAGACTTGCCTACTCCAGGAATAGACTCTGAATTTTTAGTGTTATAGTTAGGTCTTAGAAAGGTCTACTGTAAACAGCACTGTGTGTTCACTGCATAATTAGTATGGTGTTAACAGGCCTGATTCAGCATTCTTTATTTGAGATTTGTTTCATATTGATTTAAAAGGATGCTTTGTCCTAGTAAGAACTGCAGATTGGGTACAATCTGGAAAATGAAGAAACACACAGATGACTAACAGGGGAAAAACTACATCTTCATGCTATACAATATTCCTATAAAATAATACAGTAAATGCATTTTATTATAAAATGCTCCTTTTCTATCTGAATTATCACAGACTGTCTAAAGTCAATGAACACTTGCCAAAACACAATGATAAAGAATTGCCATCATCCATTTGTAAGAGCTCAAAAAAGCATAATTTTTCAGAAAAGCCTATTGTTTAGCTATGTCTCTCTATTTTAACCATTGCACAAAACTCCACTAACGTGGGGTTGAAGCATTTTTAATAGAATAAAAAAGGCAACAATTCAAAGTATTGCCATTTCAGTACTTCAATGGATGCTATTCAATGGGTATTTCAAGTAGACTTGAAACCATTCTTTCTTTGGGCACTGAGCTAAAAGAGATGCAATAGATAACTATTTAATTGTTTTGTAAAAGAAAATGACATACCTGAGGGTGTATTTTCTCCAAATATCATTCTGATCAGTTTGAGGTCATTTCTCCTAATGAGTAAAAGCAAACAAAACACAATTTCAAAAGCTCATTTTTATGACACGTATGCAACCACCCTGCATCACCTCTGTGCTATATAGTATGATTTTCTTTCATGCCAATGTGAGCTAAGTACCTGCCTTCATCTATTTTTGATGCACTTTATCAGATTTGATATTTATTTCACATCATTTACAATAAAACTACCTTTGCTTCCAATTTGTGTTAATAGATATAGACACCTGGAATCACAATATACTTAAAGAAACAAGACTTTTAGTGCACTATAGTGGCAGGATCAGATATTCCTTAGAGGCTAATGCTACATTCTTCCTATACAACTCACCATTTTCACCATTAGAAATTAAAGGTAGGAAGATTATTTTTCCTTCATTTATAAGTATGACTATTAATGAAAAGGTGGGAATCAATAAGCCTCTTTAACCTGGTCAAACTACAAGTAAAACTAATCTAGTAAAACTAATCTGGTCAAACTATCTAGTAAAACTAATAAGCCAGACAATGGACTTATAATTGTCCCATCAAATGTCTATTAGATATGATAAACATGGAATATCTTGTTTCAGAGACTACATTCTTTATTGATATCTATATTACATTGTTGTTCACACGTAATTGAAGATAGCTTATAATGATTTGAAGTATGTATCTTTAGTTGGATTAAAGGTCAATCAAGGCTTGACAATAGTAGAACTAAGAGGACCAATGGTACACAAAGGAAAAAGAAAACCATGATGGGAAAAGAAGGTGGATAAATTGTATCGTTTTGGGAGTAGAGCCATAGAAGATAAGAAAGGGTAGACATTCTCTGTTTACCACTGCTCACATCCTCTTTTCTTCTTCAACACAAATTTTTGGAATTTTTCTTATTTTAACATAACCAACAATTGGTAATAAGTGGTTGCTACATAGCAATATACTCATCATTCATTTATAATCCTCAATATTTGTTTAGTATCGACTATTATTGGGCTTGCCATTGTGCTAGATACTGAGATCATGCCTTTGACCACAACAGATATCACTTTTGCCACCAGAATTCTCAGCCAATGGTTGAATAAAGATCAGAATAAGTCTGTATTATTTTTATATGAACATCTATTCAACTAAATATTAACTGGATATTTTCCCAGTATCTTCACTTCTTTTTAAAAATGAATGTAATCATAATAGAAAATATATTGTTATCATAATCATCATTATCATTCCAGAGATCAGTACATAATCTATCACATGGTAAATCATCTCAAAAGTCCTCCAAAATTTTGAAACTTAAATGACAAGAAGAGTCAAAATATTTTGGTCTTAATTCTTTGAAGTGACTAACTCTATTGACTGAAGGACTGAAAAAATTCAGGACTTCTCAACAGGTAGAGAAACATTTCTAAGTGAGGTCCTTGTAGTAGAATTTCCTTCTGGAAATAAACTTGTCTAATTATGCCCAGAAATTAGTGAATTCCCTCAGAAAAATGTGTCCAATTAAAATAGAAACACTTGCCACTCTGATTGCACACTCTAAGAAGAATTTAGCACCTGTCTAAGGCCATGTCCATGTCTGAATGTATATGATGCATTATCTAGTGAGAAAGAAGACAATGAGGTAAAGTCCTATAGTGAAGTCTCTGGCATACAGAAAACCCACCTAGAGTCTTGGTCTTTGGCAATGCTAACTGGCCTTGGACACAGTGAGATACTTCGTTTAATAATCAAATATTAATGGTTAAAAAGACTGATTGAGAAAGATGCATAAACTTAAAGTGACTTCTCAATTTTAAAGGTTTCAGAGAAGTGAATGATGATATTTGTGTAGAAACAGTTTATGTTTAGGCAGCTAAGTATTATTAATGAGAAAAGTAAAACCAGAAAATAGTGATCTTAATGCATATATAAAACATTTTTAATTAATAATCGTGTTTAAGAAACTGGAAGATGACTAAGCCAATTTGTAATATTTAGAATGTAAAACCTGACCTTAATCTTTATTGCATTCTTCACTTTTTGAACACTCAGCTTTTTTTTGCTTATAGTCTAACATGCATATAGGTGAATCACATAACTCAGAATAATTATTCTTTCAGAATTGCAGTAAAAAAGTACCTTTTTTGGAATTTTAGAGCTTTAGGTCTCATGAATTTAATCTATAAATTGTGTAGTGATTACTTTCAAAAATCTCCCAATATTTGATGATTATATATCACAGATTAAGAAAAATACAATTTCAAATGGTGTGTCACCAAAAAATGCCATAACTTTAAATGGAAAAATATACTATTTATCTTTTGGAAAATAAATTATTTAATACAGTATATAAAGAAAAATACATATGCTTTGAATGTTAAATGGTGTGGTAATTTTTTATCAGTATTTTTAATTTACAGAAAGAAAGAGAATATTCTTAGAATTAACTTTTACTTTTTACTGGTTTATCATTTCTCTTTAAAGTGTTAGTATTTCTAATCAAATTAGAATTGTTAAGAAGAAAGGAAAGGGTTAAGAAAAGTAAATGAATAGAAGGGAAAGAGCAAAGATATTGTTAAGCACACACTTGTAACTTCCTACCTGTAAACTCTTATGAAAATACCTCAATTACATAAAAGAAAAATGGATGAACTATAATTATTTAACAATAAATGTCACTTTTAGATTTTGGAAAGTTCAAGCAACTTTTTCAGCAAGTTTAATGCTGGTAAAATTTCAAGTTGATCTTAATAGAATTTTATTTATAGCTAGAAATGGATTATGAAAAAGAAACCCAAGAAATAAAAGTTACTAAAAGTTACACTCAAGGAATAATACACTTTTTTAAAATAAATATTAAGTGGATCACTTTTGAGTGTAATCACATAAAATTTAGAAAGAACCAGATGATTGTGAAGAAAGCAATTTAGGGTCTGGATTGAGTCTGGCCTCTGGGCTTTGTGTATTGACTCAACACAGCTCTCTGTGTGACCTTACCCACACACTGTATGCTTTAATTTCCTCATCTATAAGAGTAGAGTAGTATTGACACCTATGAAATTGAATTCTTTTGAGAATTAAAAACAAGTTATATGCTATACCTGACACAGTAAAGGTACTTTATAACAGATTATTACTATTGTCATTCCCCATATAAATGAACTTACTGAAATTCTAAACTAAAGTTCTAGAATCCCAAGTTTATCCTTCAGTATATTCACATTGCAAAGTCATGTAGATTTTTTTAGATAAAAAACAAGCCTTTTATTGAAAAGGAATTATTTGAAACTGTCTGAACAAGAAGAGCAATTTGTGAATTGATGCTAAAGCAGTGGGAAAAATAAAATGCATACATATCTAAATAAAAATTTCAGAAATTTGTTTGGAATTCAAGAGGACAGTGAGAAAGTGATGTCTATAAAAGCATAAGGCAAGGTTTAGTGCATGTTAACAGAAGGACATATTTGCCAACATCAGATCCTTTCTTAAGATTTTTAAAATTATCTTTATTTCGATTAAAAAAGAAAGAGTTGTTTTCAATTATTCTAAGCATTAACGTAATACTAGTCAGTTGAGACTAGAGCATAGATATAGAGAATCATATTGTCCTCAGCAACAAGGGGGACCTATTTTCTGAAGCAACATTTTGAGGAAGTGGAGGAAAAGGAAAAGAAAAAGAACTTTCAGAGTTATAGGTGGGTCACAGAGAGGTAGTCAGGCTGTCAGAATTCTAATTCCAGACATGGTGCTGCTGAAATATTCAAGATCATGAGTGGATTCTCTCATGAAAAATCCAGGATAAGTTGGGTAGTAGTAGGCCTAATCAGTATGGCTACTCAAAGTAGAATGCCTGCAGAAGGCTTCAGGGACTGGGAATTTTTACAGAATAACTAGTCAACAGTTTGCAGTTTGCCATCCAAGGTATGTTTATGAAAAACACTATGAACTGTAATATATAGATATAAAGGCTGTGAAGGGCATTTATGAAGGACAGTCTCATGTGAAAAGACTCAAAGAACTTTGGATTTTTTAACACAGGTTGCTTGATTTGATAAAATTCAGCAATTTATCTATATTATATAAACTAAAGCATGTTTCTTGGATGGCCCCATTTTCTTTATTGTTATGCTCAAATAGCTGACTGGAGAGTACTCAGTTATTATAAATTGGAGATCACGCAAAATTCAAAATTCAGCTTTTCAGCAGCAACAACATCCATAACAACAAACAGAAGTTAAGAAAACTCACTACCTAGCATATAAATTATAAACACATAACACAATTTAGGAGATGGCTTCTGTCTAAGTCTGTTTGGGCTGCTACAACAAAATTACCATAAAATGGGTGGCCTACAAACAGCAAATATTTCTCCCAGTTTTGGAGGCAAGAAGTTCAAGATTAAGGTGTGACAGCTTTGGTGTCTAATGAGGACCCCTTCCTCACAAACAGTATTTTCTAGCTGTGTATTCACTGTGTGGAAGAGTAATGAGCTTCCTTGGGCCTCATAAAGACACTAATCCCAATCATAAGAATTCTGCCCTCATGATGTAATCATCCCACAAATGACCCACCTCCTAATATCATTACCTTTAGGGTTAGGATTTCAACATATAAATTTGGGGGGGTACTCAAACATTCAGACTACAGCCGTTTTCATGTTATTATAAACACCTCTTTGCATGCCTTATGATACGATGCCTGCTTGTTGAATGCCCAAACTCCTAAGGTCCTCAGAGTTTTCCTTGAGTATTTCCTGGACTTTAACCTTCTATTTTCCCATTACTAGTTTTTGAGAATGCTAAGTCTACTGGCAAAGTTGAATGGCATCGGGTAGCATCCAAATCCTTATCCAGGGTCTAAACTGAACCCAGTAGTTGGGTTAGACCAGGAAACATAATATAGCAAACAGGGCATATTATTCTGGAGAATGAGGGCATTTTAAGAACAAAATAAACAAACTAAAGAACAAAGAAACATTTATTGTTCACATGGTAGGACTTGACATTGCTGACATTGCATTAAAGATCGCTAAAAATATTTTTTTTATTCCATCTGGGAAAATAAATTGTTTTAAATCTCCCTACAAATTTATTTACTACATCCTCAATTTGCAGTGGTGAATGTACACAGTGTAGCAGACTTACAGGTGATAATTACTGCCTAAATGTTTTAAACTAGTTTGCATAGTTTCTGCCAAAACATTTAAAGCTTGCTTCCATAATTCATAGTGTTCCTAATTTCATGTCAGGATGCACTGTCTCATCCTGCAATAGGAAAAAGGAAGGATTCTTTCACTTATAAAGAGTTGAAGACAATTATAGAAGCTGTGGTCGTCTTTTACATCAACTACATAAAACTAATAAATTCTACTTCAGTTTGAACTATGTGATGGTTGTAAAATTAATTTATAGATGGCTTTAACCATATTCTTCAGTATATACATGTTTATTTTTTTTTCAAAAATGTTTTTCAATGGAATATATAAATATTAAAGTTCCCTTGTTATAGCACTAGTACTAACATTCAGATATTTGTGTTATTACAATTGAATGATAATCAAGGTAGTTTATGTGACAATATAATAATTAATGATATGTTAGTATATTGAGCTTTCTGCTTGGTTACCATTTATACAGGAATGGGGAGGTAAGAGGAAAGATGATATTTTCATTTATATTTTGTCTAGAAATATTTCTAATGCATACTAACTTGCATATCTCCTTCAATATGTTGAGTAGACTGAACACAATTTAATCTTTCTTTCATAATTCATTAATTTAATAATATAATCCTTCATTTCAACTTCACATACTATAATTGAGGGTGTTAGGTTAAAAGTTTTCTGATTCCAGTGTTACTGTGATTTTATTTTGAATTTGCTTTTTTCTGATCTTCTGTTCATCCCCTTAAATCGCTCAGGGCCCATGCAGCAAGTGGAGACTGAGGTTGCTTTCTGCTCAGGGCGTCACTATCTACTCCCTGGAAGACCTAATAAGAACAAAGTTGTGGCAGGGACAAAAGAGGTAAGTGAGGCAGAGTCTATTTAAGATCTACCTTTGGGATAGGCTGATCTTCTGATTTCATTCATCACTTTGTGTGTGTGCAGGTATGTGTGTGTGTTTGTGTTTTGTCAGAGTTGTACAATTCCAGTAGCCAAGAATTAGTCAAAATGCCAGATAGTAATAAACAATTATTTGACTGTTTAATTGGTTTTGCTTATGTTCCTTTGGAACTAGCACACATGGTTTAGCTACTTGTAGAAGCCTAAGACTCTGTATTCTTAAAAAGTAACTTTGAGTCATAGATGTTAATTTTAAGACTTGGAATTTACCTCATTTTCATAAATGCTAAATAAAGAAGACAAAGCTTACTTATTGTGGAGTTTTAGTCACTGAGATTTAGGTGATAACTTTTGTTACTCTAAGAGTTACAGTAACTTCTGAACTCTGACTTCTTAGCATTTTTTTGGAAGCTTATAGATTCTTTTGTCCCTTATCCTGGAACATGCAGTGAAGAATGAAAATAATTTAACAGATTTCTGTATTGGGAGTCACAGAAATAAATCACTTATAACTTATTTAATTTCCTGAGATACTTAGAAGCATGAATGTGTAAGTGTAGAGAGGGACAGCATGTTTAACCAACTAGATGAAATGCACATGTATCTACTTCTTACAAGGCTATGCATATTATGCTCATTATTATAGGTATAATCTATAAATATGCTTCACCTTTAATAAATAATTTTATATGCTCACACTTCAATGTGTAGCACACTTTTCGTAGTTATGTAATTTGAATGTAAAAACCACTATCATCTACTTTCAACAAATTTGAAATGGGACATGATCACTTTTACAATTTATTACATCTAGAGTTAATGGAAGAGCTTTATTCATATTACTTTTTAAATTCATGTACTGTGGAAGTGTTATTCACATTCACATTGGGGTGAATAACCAGAAGGATAGGCTCAAGGGAGACTTTCTGTTCTCTATTCTGCTAGAGTCTATTACTTAAGTTTCACCAGATACAGAGATAAATGGATTGGGATGAGAATGGTTTAAACTTACATTTAATAGACACAATAAAGTATTCTTAATTGATTAAAATATAGCTCTTGGTCCCAGTCATCCTTTATTAGTTAACATATGCAATCAAACTGTCTTAATACGAATTCTCTCAACTTCAATTGACCAAGGAACTTCAAGGACTTTTTGGTGTGTTTTTTTCTCCTCCTTAACATTAGTCTTCTGATAGGAAAAATAGAAAGACTTGACCTTAAGATAATCAACTTCACCCGAAAATGATCAAATTGCCTAAGATATTCAATTCTGATTATTGTTCAGTGCCTCCTTAAAGAGGAGGCTGAGCACATAGAAATTTAAACTAAAATAGTAAGAAGACCTTTGGTGATCTCGCAAAAGTGTTGCAAAGACCCAAAGCTGCCCTATGAAATCAGCCTGTTCCTTAACGCTCTCTCTCTCAACCCTGCCTCCTAACTCACCGCCACCACATCAAATAAACAGGACAATCTGTTCCATCCTTTCTCCTTCATACAACTTGACATCCTTTATAGGAATTTGCTTGTCATTTACCACTTATCTAAACATATAATAAGGACAAGTGAAGAAGTAGGGTTAAAAAAAAAAGAAACAGAGCACATAATGAGGTTTGTCCTGGGCTCTCCTTCCATGGAAAAGGCCTTGGAACGATTCCCATTTGACCTAAACTATTTCTAATTGAAATGGGTTCACAAAAATTCATCCTTTTATAGTTCACAAAACCCCTACGTAAATGTTCCCAAAGTGCCCATTTCTAAATAAAATGGGATTTCAAACAATTAAATTCAAATTTCAAAACTGAATCAAATCTCCTTGCCTTCTTTGGCGGAAATAAGTAATGCAGTTGTATTCCCCTAATGCTCTGGTGAGGACCTTTTATAATAAACACAGTGTTTCATTAGATGACAGGACTATTCTTCTTTATGGAGCCAAGCAGTGTGGCCTGCAGCACACTGGTTTGGGATTGTCTACTTGAAGCAATCTCGATCATTCTTTTCTCAAATTCTAATTTCTCAACTGAATCCTTGTCCTTTCAGCATTCCATTTTAAGACAACTCAAAACTTCATAAAATTGTTTTATAATAATAAACAAGTTAATTATCTACTCCAGGTTACTCTAGAAAGAATTATATAGAAGAAAATTAGGTAAGTTTTCCTTCTTATTTGACTTCAAAGGCCACTTGATGTATCGCCCTTATTTTCAGGAGGGAATGAGAGAGAAAGAAAGGACACAAAGACATGGATATTTTAGTCTCTCTAAGCAAGATAAAGAGGGAATTTATCCAGATTATTACAGCCATCAAATACTGTTGCTTACCTATCTCTGTTTAAGTCTATCATCTGAGTAGTGCCTTTGGCCTTCCTGCATTATACAGGAATTGCTTATAGAAGGAAGAAATGTAAAGAAGATGACAATATTACATTTCTCATTTTAGAATAAACAACTATAATAAAGAAACGAAATTCAAAACAAGCAAACAAAATATCACCAGAGCATGAAACAGTTTGGAAAAGTCTAAGCCTTGAAACATTTATTTCTGAATTCAGACCATTAGCTCATATTCCACTGTGTCTGAAACATTAAGTACATTAAACCAATGGACTAGAACTGGGTGAAGCAAAAAAGTACTTTACAACTTTGATACTTCAGATTCCCAAGAATGACAATATCAATTTTATACATAATCAGAAGTATATCAAATCAAAATACTATATCGACTTCTGTACTATTTTCTTTTCTCACATAGTTCTGTGAATACACAAAGTGATCAGTTAGTTTCAATGTAACATTTATTAAAACATTCAAGGAGGCCGGGCGCAGTGGCTCACGCCTGTAATCCTAGCTCTCTGGGAGGCCGAGGCGGGCGGATTGCCTGAGGTCGGGAGTTGGAAACAAGCCTGAGCAAGAGTGAGACCCCGTCTCTACTATAAATAGAAAGAAATTAATTGGCCAACTAATATATATAGAAAAAATTAGCTGGGCATGGTGGCGCGTGCCTGTAGTCCCAGCTACTCAGGAGGCTGAGGCAGGAGGATCACTTGAGCCCAGGAGATTGAGGTTGCTGTGAGCTAGGCTGACGCCACGGCACTCACTCTAGCCTAGGCAATAAAGTGAGACTCTGTCTCAAAAAAAAACAAAAAAAAACCAAAAAAAAAAACAAAAAAAAAACATTCAAGGAATGATTTCAAAAACATTAATATTTAAATTAACCCTTATAGTCTCGACTAGCATATATTATTTGAGAAATCCTTAGAGAAGGAATCAAAGGAAGAAGATACGAGAAATTGAAACTAAAATGTTTTTCAAAACAAGTAATTTATGGTTCATAGCCCCATAGCAGGCAGAGTATGAGATTAAGAACAAAGTGAAAAGGTTGTTTTTAGGGAAAAGAAAAGAATGACTTCTTCCTTTCCTCTAACAGGGAAGACTGGTAGAGAATACAGGTATTTTGAAACACCCAGGAAGAAAAAAATGACTGACGCATACAAAATGCATCAGCGAGACACTGTCTAGTCAAATTCTCTTCCTCTATGTGACCAAACAATCCAAACCGTAACTGCTTTACACAACGGGAAACAAATATGTGTAAGCTATATTATTTATATTCAAAATTAAGATTAACTGAAGTCATAAAATAATGTTATAATTTAGATAACAAGTTCTATTGAATAGAAGAATGTCACTTTAAAAACTGGCACTTCTTTTTAACCACTAAATGTTAATATCTGGATACCTGAAGCCTTGACAACATGGAGGCTGCTTTCCTAATTTCCCAAAAAGTACATTTTGCATAGCGTTGCAGAGTCCATGACATACATTTAAATAACTCTCATTTCATTCTTAAAATATTATTTCCATTTTTTATTGAACTGTTTTGGGTAAAGAAAATCAGATGAAATGAGTGATATAAGGATCTTGGGCAAAGCTATATCCATTCCTCCATTCATTTCATTCTATGAATATGTAGTGACTTTCTCCCATAGGCTAGGCATTGTTCTAATTGTTGGGTATAGAGCAATGGACAAGACTGATAAGGTGACTAGGGCTTAGGTCATAATGGGGTGGGATGAAATAGTATGCAGTAATAAGTGATTTTTTAAAAATAAAATTATGTTGTTGAGAGCTTGGTGGGCTACTATAGATTGAATAATTAATATATACTTGCAGAAGTGATTTTCAGGCTGAAACTCAAAGAACAAGAAGGAATCAACCATATGAAAATCTGAAGGGAAAATGTTTTTTTTGGAATGGAAAATTTGGAAATGGAAAATTTGTTTGTTTTTTTTTTGTTTGTTTCTTTGCAAAGGGAATAGTTTCTGCAAGGCTCCAAAGTGTGCATGGGAATGACTTTAGTATAATTGTGACTCTAATATAGCTCAATTTGGATAGAGGCCAAGGATCAAGTGAGAATGTAGGAGATGTTGAGTCTTGAAGGGAAATAGGAGTCAAATAGGGTGCCAGAATTGGAAGGAAAGAAATCAATTAGAAAACTACTATACAGGCAAGGGAGAGATAATGGTATCTTGGACTGCTATAAGTTTAATGAAGGTAGAGAGAAATGGATGTTTTGGGTCAAATTTTGAAGCTACAGTCAATAGGATATGCTAATGTATTAGACATTAATAGAAACAGAAATCAAGTATGACTGCTATTTCTTTGTATTTATGTATTGATTTTTTTTAAGTAACTGGATGTGTAGTGGTAACACTTACTGAAATGAGGAAAACTGGAACAGAAGAAAATTTGGAGTGAAAATCATACTCTTTTGGCAATTAAAATTTGTGATGCCTGTGAGAAATTCAAGTTTTGACATAGGGTATGTAGACACCTATAGGGTCTGGAGTTCAAGATAGAGATCAGGGATGGAAATACATTATTAAATACATAAAATTGTATGAGAAGAATGTGAAGATTGATAAGCAAAAGGATATAAGAATAGATTCTTAGAGCACTTGAAATATTGAGAACTTCAGCTGGGCAGGAGGAGGCAGCAATGGTGACTGAGATAGAGTGGCTAGTGGCTAAGAAGAAAACCAGAAGATTTTTAAAATGTTATGAAATGAAGAAAATGAAAAGTTGTGGAAGTCAAGGTAGAATGAAGTAAATTTATGGCAGTATAACTTTTATCAGACCATGCTTTATTAACTTTCTTCTCCTCCCTCAACCATTTTTTAACTCATGCTAATGTTTACATGGTGTTATTAATACTTAGTGAACAAAGGAGCTGCTCCCAGCCCCAAGTGTGCATGTGGACTGCATAGATTGGTTTTTTAAAGGTAGCTACTAGGAAAGGAAACCATTAAAAAAGTGAAGAGACAACCTACAGAATGGAAGAATATATTTATAAACTATGCATACGATAAGTGGTTAATACCCAAAATATACAAGGAACTCAACTCAATAGCGAGAATGCAAATAACCCAGTTTAAAAATGAGTAAAAGACCTGAACAGATGCTTTTCAAAAGAAGACATAGAAGTGGCCAACAGGTTCATGAAAAAATATTGAGCATCATTAATCATTAGGGAAGTGCAAATGAAAATCACAATGAGATAGCACCTCATACTGTTAGAATAACTATTATCACAAATTTGAAAGATAATAAATATTGGTGAAGATGCAGAAAAAATAGAGCCCTTGTATACTGTTGGTGGGAATGTAAATTAGTACAGTCATTATGTAAAATAATATAAGGTTCCTCAAAAAACTAAAAATGATGGTAAGTGAAATAAACCAGGCATTGAAAACCAAATACCACATGATCTCATTCATATGTGGAATCTAAAAAAGTGATCTCATAAACATAGAGAGAAGAATGTTGCCTACCAGGGGCTAGAGAGGTAGTAGGGGTGTTGGGGAGATGTTAGTCAAAGAAAATAAAATTTTGGTTAGACAGAAGAAATAAGTTCAATGGCTCTATTGCACAACATGGTGACTACTGTTAACAATATATTGTATTCTTCAAAAATGCTAAAAGACTGGATGTAAAGCGTTCTCACCAAGAAAAAATGGTAACACTGTGAGGGAATGCATATGTTAATTAGCTACATTTAGTCATTTTATGATTTGTATATAACTTCAAAACATCATGTTGTACATAGTAAATACATACAATTGTATGTGTCATTTTACAAAAATTAAAAAATTAAACAGAATTGCCATATCTTCCAGCAATCCTATTTCTAGGTATATATCCAAAAAAATTGAAATCAATATGTAGAAGAGATATCTGCATTTCCATGTTCATTGTAGCATTATTCATAATAATAGTCAAGACATGGAAAAAACCTAACTGTATATCAATGGATGAATGGAAAAAGAAAATGTGGCATATATACACAATGGAGTACTCTTCAGCTTAAAAAAAGAAGGAAATTCTGTCATTTATGACAATGGATGAATGGGGAAGGCATTGTGCTAAGTGGAATAAGCCAGGCATAGAAAGACAAATACTGGATGATCTCATGTATATGCGAAATCTAAAAAAGCCGAACTCATAAAAGTAGAGTGATGGTCACCAGAGGCTGGGAGATGGTAAGGGAATGGGGAGTGCTTGGTCAAAGGGTACGAAGTTCCAGGTAGATAGGAGGAATAAGTTTTGAGACTTACTGCACAGGAGGAAGACAATAGTCAGTAGTAATGTACATTACTATACACAGTGTACCGAGAAAGCAAATTTCAAATGTCTCACCACGAAAAAAGATAGGCAAATGAGGTGATGGATATGTCAATGAGCTTGATTTAATAATTTCACTTTGTATACATACATCAAAACATCATATTTTATTCCAATGTATAAAATTATGGTTTTTGATTAAAACATTTTAATAAAAAAGAATAAAGAAGCTTCTTTGTTCATTACTGACACACCATATGAACATCAGCATGAATTAACAAATGGTGAGGGGGAAGGGGAGATGCCCCAATAGACGCCCAGCAGACACATACATCCCTTCACATTAGATCTACTGCTGACTACAGAGGAAGACAATCCATTGGTTATAGGAGCTAGCATTCAGGTTGCAGAGCAAGAAGCATCACGAAATTCCAGCCATCTCAGCACAGCACATATTTGCTTTTCTAGGTAGCACAGGAGTGATTTTGGAGATGTGGGTTTTAAGTTGGAGTCTTAGATAGCTTCTGTTATTCTCCTTAATGGTTTTATTGCAAAGATAATTGTAGAGTGCTATGGGCTAAATTGAGCCCCTTCAAAATTTATGTGCTGAAGTCCTTCACCCTCAGTGCCTGAGAATGTGAACTGTATTTGGAGTGAGGACTGTTAAAGAAATAATTTACTTCAAATGAGTTAGGGTAAGCCCTGATCCTATATGACTGATGTCTTAAAAGAGGAGGAAATCTGGACACAGATCCAAAGGGAAGG